TATATCATCTGATAAACAGTACAATGCCATGTATAAACGTTTACTGAGAGTGTTTGAATCTGTCTATTCTAGTCAACGCAAAAGTCACTGGTTTTATAGTAAATATAGTAAATATGATTCTATAACTTCATTAGATGTTTGGACAGATATTCAGTTTCTGCAGGGATTTATCAGATGGCTTAGTGGTCAGAATGATGACAAAAACTTGTGCCATGTGATAAAGCTTGCCTTGTTAAATAAAGCATGTTCTTCTGGTTCAGAAGAATGTGCTTTATTCCTCCTGTCGGAGGGTGCGACACCTGACAGGGAGACACCGTTTCGTGTGGTAAAGGGTGGGAGTGTGAGTGTGTTACGTAAACTACTGGAGTATGACGTCACTCAGACAGCGAGGTTAGACTGGTCACGATCACCACATAAAGGCCTAGCTACTAATATCAATGTCCTACAGGAGGCGTGTTTGTTTGGGAGAGAAGAGATGGTGACCATGTTATATAACACTTACCCACACTTGGTACACGACACTGATGACGAGGGACACAGCACGCTCCATCATGTGACACTGACAGGAAACTGTGATATATTTAAAACAGTGGAGAGAGTTGTACTTAAATCCTTGTATAGAGTTGAGGACGAACATCATAAATGTAAGACAGTAGAAGGTCGTGTGGTTCACAGGAATTGTGTGTGTGTTCAGTACGTGTGTCAGTTAGTGGGTAAGTACGGGGGGGAAACAGTGTTACATTATAGTTGTTTGTTTGGACACATGGAGTTTTGTAAATATCTGTGTAAGTCGTACCCAGCACTAACTACAGCTGTAGATAAGTACGGGCAAACAGTGTTACATGATAGTTGTAGGATGAGACACATGGAGGTTTGTAAATATCTGTGTAAGTCGTACCAAGCACTAACTACAGCTGTAGATAAGTACGGGCAAACAGTGTTACATGATAGTTGTAGGATGAGACACATGGAGGTTTGTAAATATCTGTGTAAGTCGTACCCAGCACTAACTACAGCTGTAGATAAGTACGGGCAAACAGTGTTACATGATAGTTGTAGGTTGGGACACATGGAGGTTTGTAAATATCTGTGTAAGTCGTACCCAGCACTAACTACAGCTGTAGATAAGTACGGGCAAACAGCGTTACATTATAGTTGTATGTTGGGACACATGGAGGTTTGTAAATATCTGTGTAAGTCGTACCCAGCACTAACTACAGCTGTAGTTAATGACGGGGAAACAGTGTTACATCGTAGTTGTTGGGGGGGACGCATGGAGGTTTGTAAATATCTGTGTAAGTCGTGCCCAGCACTAACTACAGCTGTTGATAATAAAGGGTATCATTGTCTACATTATATAGCTAGTTGGACGTCAGATGTAGACCTGTTCACCGAGTGTGAAACTCATGTAAAACAGTACCTAGAATCTACAGGACGTAAGTATGACAGCACAACCATACTAACCAATCGGGGAGAATCTGTTTTAGACTTTGCAAAGAAACGGACAGAGAGACTGACCTGGGGGACAGT